CTGAAGGGTGTCCCAGATCAGGGTGGGGGTCCCGCTGGGGTGCCTGGCCAGCCTGGGCGAGGGGCTGATGGCTGTTTGCAGCTGGTCACACCCCCTTCAGGGTGGGGGTCCCCACTGGGGTACCTGGCCTGTCTGGGTGAGGGGCTGAGGGCTGTTTTCAGGCTCTGTGGGTGACTGAAGCTCCCAACCGCTCCTTTTTTTCTTTTTTTTTTTTTTTTTGGCCAGCTTTAGCTCTGGGGCCTTGCTGCTGAAAACATAGATACAATGTTGCGGTCCGAGCCCGGCTGAATGGAAGCCCTTTTCTGGGGTTTTGTTTAGCTTCTTATTTGCAACATAGTATATAGTTGCTTAGAGTTGCAACTGAGAGGCTGGCAAGTTAGGCGGGGAACGTTGGAGTCTGCAGCAAGCAAGCCTCCCTGCTCGCTTCAGTGCCTGGCTGCCGGCCGCCATCTTGGCTGACAGTTAATTTGCATATACTCACTGGTTAGCCAATGAAAAGGGTAGCGGTCGTACGCCAATTACCATGTTTCTCTTTTATTAGTGTAGATGAGCATTCCTTGCCATGTCAGTGATTGGGGTGAGAGGGTCTTCAAAATGCTGTCACAGACATTGGCAGCTGTTCCAGGGCCTCTGTCTAGTGCAGTGGTCGGCAAACTCATTAGTCAACAGAGCCAAATATCAACAGTACGATGACTGAAATTTATTTTGAGAGCCAAATTTTTTAAACTTAAACTATATAGGTAGGTACATTGTTATTAACTTAATTAGGGTACTCCTAAGGCTTAGGAAGAGCCACACTCAAGGGGCCAAAGAGCCGCATGTGGCTCGTGAGCCGCAGTTTGCCGACCACGGATCTAGTGAAATTGATTGATTTGGAATCCTAGCATTTTAGATCTTGGAGGATCTAACGACCAGCTAAGTTAACTGCTCTCATTTAGGGCCCAGACAATTGACTTGCCCAAGATCACACAGCTAACTGGAATTAAGCAGAAGTGATTTTTCCCACCATGCTGTTCAACTTAAATTCCAATATAATGACAACCATTTTAAGATTTTATTCCATGGTTTTAAATACAGGGCAGTTCTGACTTTTTATCTTTTTTTTTTTTTTTGTAATTTTAACAGAAGCACCACTATTCCATTTTTTAGCTCTCTTGTAGCCTTAAATTTTAATATTTATAAATCAATTATTTGAAGGAAACACACCATAAGGAACTCCCTCAGAAACAAAACAATAATGTTTATTCCTCCATCCAAACTAAAGGTAAACCCAAACCAAAAAGCCCACATAGAAATAAAAAGTAAAAACCATAGCCCAGCCAATGTGGCTCAGTGGTTGAGTTTCGACCTATGAACTAAGAGGTTACTAGTTCGATTCCCAATCAGGGCACATTCCCAGGTTGTGGGCTTGATCCCTAGTAGGAGACGGAGGCAGCCGATCGATGTTTCTCTCTCTCATCGATGCTCCTGCCTATCTCTCTCCCTGCCTCTCTAAAAAAAAAAAAAAGAGTAGAATCATATAAAAAAAAGTAAAAAGCTGTAGTGTAGTGGCTTAGTGAAATTTAGCAGCCTTCACTATGCTGCCTAATTATCCTTAATCTGACTTTAAAACACAAAACTGAACATCCTAGCTTATGAAAACACATGTCCATTTGCTTTTAAAAATTAAAATAATAGTTTTTTAAATTTAAATAATTCAGTTGTTTAACTGGTTTCAATGACATCTGTAACAAAATGGTCAGGATGGCAGCAGAGATAAATAATAAGGTGATATTGTTCTTCAGGGTTTTCTTCCAGTACAAATGTACCCTAAACCATTCTTGTTTTTCTAACTGATACAATGTCTAAGATTTACTCCTTTTCTTGCTACACCCACGAATATATAGACACAGGGCTAGCTGCTCTGTCAGGATCCCTCCCTTCTTTTAGAGCAGCGGTTTTCAACCTGTGGGTCGCAACCCCTTTGGGGGTCAAACAACCTTTTCACAGGGGTCGCCTAAGACCATCGGGAAACACATATAATTACATATTGTTTTTGTGATTAGTCACTATGCTTTAATTATGTTCAATTTGTAACAATGAAATTGGGGGTTACCACAACATGAGGAACTGTATTAAAGGGTTGCGGGCATTAGAAAGGTTGAGAACCACTGTTTTAGAGGTTGAGCCCCTCCATCCTCTGTGTGAAAGGCCCAGGATTCTGATGCTTTGAGGAGAAGAATAATGAAGGCCTACAAAAATGAAGCAATGCCAGGCCAGTAAGGTGTCCAGATATGCATATTCCAGAGAAGGGAATGGATTTCCAGTGTAAATTCTTTCATTTTGTACTGTTCTTCCCATTTCTGTGTTTTGTTTTGTTTGTTTTTTTATAGTTTTTAGGGCATAAAAACCTTATCCTCCTACCTTTCTTTTGCTTCTAACAGTGCTATGTTTCTGCTACCTTTATACACAATGGCAGAATGAAGATGTCTCAGATGGGATTCACGGTAGCTCCTTCACAGCAGTGTGGCATGCAGAGTCCTCAGCACAGTGTAGTGTTGTATGAACTCCATAAAATTATAATTCCTTCTGTATGGATTACCTTTGCATATAACCTACACTAATAAAAGAGAAACATGCAAATTGGTGTCACTCCACTATGCCCACCAGCCAATCAGAGCGACTATGCAAATTAACCCAACAAAGATGTCAGTTAATTTGCATCCACGGGTGCAGAGCGAAGACTGAAGGCTCCGGCCAGAGTGAAGACTGAAGAGGCTTGGCTTCTCGCTGCGGCCGGAGGGGAGAAGCCAAGCCTCCGCTGCGGCCAGACCAAAGGCCTGGGTCCCAGGTGCTGGAGGAAAACCAGTGCTGGCAGCCAGGGGAAGGAAGGCCTATTGCACGAATCTTCATGCAACGGGCTTCTAGTTAATATAATATTTACTTATCTACTAGAGTAAATCTCATCAGAATCACTAGTCGATTATAATTTATTTTCTTATTCTAATATTTGTTCTTGAAAATCACAAAGCTTAATATTTATGCTGTCCAAAATTTGCTGTAACAGCTTCTTTCTTTTTTGTTTCTTCTTTTTAAATATTATGCTACTCTTTTGAAACCACAGTCTAATTTTAATATTTATAAGGTTTATTTTCTTATCTGGAAGAATTTATGTATTGCTTCTTCTCACTTGTTTTAAATTCTCTAGATTATTTTAACACATTGTTTTCGGGTAGTTTTTATCCCGCGCTCTACTACACTGGTAGAAGGTATAAATACGTAAAATGTATAAATACGTTTCCCGCATACAATGTATTAAATTTGGCCTGGAAACCATATAAATTACCTAATCCTAGGTGCAATTTTTATCTTTGTCAGTCAGGTCTATTTGATGGCAGTACCTAACTGGAGTGCTCTACTGGGGGGAAAAAAAGGAAAGTGAGAAAGAACTCTGGTATCTGGCCTGTCATTGATTTGGGCCAATCTGAGATCAAACCCCTTTTTTGGAGATAAAAAAACTAAGCCTCATCAGAGGAATTGAAAGAACTTGCCTCTAGTCTCTCAGCTACTTTAAGCTGAATTTCTACAAATGCAGTCTTCTCCTCCATACATGTTGTACTATCTGTAGCCACCTCTGGGGTTTGCTTAGTATTGTTATTATTATTGCTATTATTTATTTTTTTTTAAACGAACACCTAGTATAGCAACACTAATATAAAGGTGTTTAGCAAAATATTTTCCTCCTCTACAATAAGTCCAATTTTAGAATTACGTTATTTCAAGTAGTTGTAGGGTTTCTTATATTTAAAACCTGAACATAATAAATTTGAGAGTTAGGAGAATATGTTTCAAATGCTAGGGTTCATGAAGGCTCATGGAGCACTGTCTTTCTAACAGATTATTAAAGAAGAAAATCAGACAAGATGAACAGAGAATGAATGTGGAAGAAAATTTAAAGGCAGAAAACAATACTTTTTAAAAATTCATTTTGTAAAGAAGAATGGTGTGACGATAAAAACATTTTTCCAATTATAACATTCACTCGTTCATTCACAAACATTGATTGTTCCTTTAACAATTTATAAGTATCTGTGTTAGGATAAGATGCATCTTTAGGGTAGAGGGTTTGCCAGTGGGGCCTAGGTCAAGTGATGGCTCTTTTTAAGCATGATAATCCTTTCATCCCTCTGCACAAGTTCTGCAACAGATAAAAATGTACAGTTAAATGTGTATATTTTCATTTCTTTATTTACTCTTTAGGTACTTCACATGACTGGAGGCTACGGTGTGGTGCTGTGGACTTGTACTTCACACTTTTTGGACTCAGTAGGCCTTCCTGCTTACCCTTGCCAGAGCTTGGGTTGGTTCTTAATCTAAAAGAGAAAAAAGCTGTCTTGAATCCAACCATAATTCCAGAGGTCATCACAGGCAACCAAGAAACTGCAATTAATCCAAGTGGCCACGCACAGCTAGTTGGATTTCAGAACCCTGTAAGAATTGCATGTGTTACAGATGTAATTTTATTATATTTAGCTCTCTAGAGAAGAGAATTGTTTCTTTTGAACTGGCAAGTTTTAAAGCCTCAGACAGTTTTTTTGTACCTTTTGAGAAACTGCTGGCATTCATATAGTACTGTGTAGTTTACAAAGTGCTACTGACAACTACATAGTGCTGCCAGTCCCTTTACTCCTTTTATGATGACATAATGATTGTTTATACTGAGCATAGAATTTCTTCGTTGAGTAGTAGAAAATTGACATGAATATTTAGCCTGTTATATGTTAACCTTCTTGTCCATATATGGTACTGGAACACTGAACACAAGGGGCCCTGACTTTTTTTTCCCTACTCTGTGTAATACCTAGCATAGTTCTAAACATAATGAGTGCCTGGCAAATGAAAAGCTTCTTGAATTAAATAAGTAGAAAGATAATAAATGATCACGTAAATGAGTAATCTGATTTGGGAGGAGATTATGCATTACATTTTAAAATTTTATATATATTATGCTTGCCTTTTGAAAAGTTTTATTTCTAGCTATGTATTATAAAATTACCAGAATTTTGTAGAAAGACCTTTAGGATACATATCAACCATTTTACTATAATTTAAAGGACATTTTTCAGAAATGATTTTCTTATTGATGACAAAATGTTCCCAATACTTCAAGCTTCATTTTTCACCAATATTTAGACCAGATTACTTGCCTAGCAATTCCCTACTGGTGTTTTGGCACTTTAACATTCAGATTCTGTCTATGCCAGTTATAACTAGTCATTTCAAATTACTTATCACCGAGATTTTCTTAAATACAATTTTACTTATTGTAAATTTAAAATGTATCCTAGAGTTTGGGTTATGAAAAAGTAAGACATAGGGCTAAAAAGTCTCATTAAAGAGCTCTTTCAGATCTGAATAGTTATAAATCTATGGAAATGAATATGTTTATAATTCTTGCACATATATGTTAATTTATCCACATTCACACTTTGAGTCTTTAGGATAAGAGGAGAAAATGACACCAAAAGATATATTCTTTTGGGAAAACTCTGAAAGTTCACTTAAATAACTTCTTTCTTCCCCCCAAAAAACTAGCAGACAAGAAAAGATGAAATTTATTTTAAGCCCATTGCTGCTAACTTACAGGCACTGGGCATGCTCTGATCTGCATGGTTGCAATAGCTATTAGTTTTCAGCTATAATATGAGCTACTTGTCTTCAGAAACTAATTTTGATCTTAAATATTGCCGCAGGAAGTTGATCATCTTGCCAAGGAAGCATCATGTAATATATCAGCTCATCAGTGGGGAGTGAAGAGGAAGTCTGATACAAAACTGGGTTCTCCACTAGAACCTGGTCAAATACTGGAGAAGAATGAGGATAGCAGTAAAGTCAAACTCAAAATCAGAGTAAGAAATACAGGTTAAACCTGTATTAACAGTGTAGGATATTCACCTTCTTGTAAATCTTTATGAATACTTGGTTTTTCCTTAGGAACAGATGGGACAGACTGAATTATAAAAGAACCCAAATGTCCATCTCTAAAACATTCCAACCGATTGTTTAATTTCTGTTGTCACATACTTCTTCTCTGTTTGGAGAGGAACTATGTGTGCACGATCTACCTCAGCTCACTACTCTCCCATAACATAGGAATAGATTTTAGTTGCTGTTAAATTTCCAGTAATTTCCATTCAGCTCCTTTTGGAGGCTGGACCACGTAATCTTTTCTCTCTCTTATACTTTTTGAGAAAAAGAGCCTACTTTTCCTTTTAAGATTATTTGGGGGTATATCCTGTGGCCTCTCTGCTACTTTTCCTAAGAGCTAAGATCCAAACATAAAGTGATATAATGGCCCCTTTTCTCTTTTGTTCCATATGTGTGTTTTAGTTTTCAAGTTCTCAAGATGAAGAGGAGATTGATATGGATACTGTACATGACAGCCAGGCGTTCATTTCTCATCACTTGAACATGCTTGAAAGGCCGTCTACTCCAGGTAAGATTAGTGTATTGCAGTTACTGAGCCGATCGAGAGAGTTCACAATGTACCACTGTTCTAGGGTGTGTTGCTTTATCTTCAAGTGAACAACTGTAAAGCTTGAAAGTAGCCAGTATAAAATGAAATATTACATTGTATCAGATTTAACACATGATTAAAATAATAAATACAAAAAGTCTTCTTTTTCCATTTTATTTTTTTAAATATTTGGCATGCTTATACTTCTAGATTTGTTATTTATTTATTTATTTTTACTTAAAAATATACATATATCTTTAATATATTTTTATTGATTTCAGAGAGGAAGGGAGAGGGAGAGAGAGATAGAAGCACAGTGATGAGAGAGAATCATTGATTGGCTGCCCCCTGCACGCTCTAGATTGGGGATCGAGCCTGCAATCTAGGCATGTGCCCTGACCAGGAATCAAATCTTGACTTCTTGGTTCATGGGTCAATGCTCAGCCACTGAGCCACACCGGCAGGGCAAAAATGTATTATTTTTATTGTTAGAGTCTTCTGTTAAATTGCTTCTGGTTTAAAGGCTAGCTTATAAAAACCTGCCAGGCTTTTTTTTTTCTTTCTTTCTTTGGGGAAACAAAGGAATTAATTCATCTTCTCCTTCTCCTTTGGCATTTTAGGGCTCTCTAAATATCGGCCAGCTAGCTCGCGGGCTTTAATGCCCCAGCATTCACCAGGGGGTGATGGCACACCTCTCACAAAGCCCCAGTGGGGGATGGAACTTGCACGGAAGGGAACAGGTGAAATTATTGGGTTTTTTTTGCTTAAGAACAAATCTATAAATTTCATAAAATGTCTTTTTTTCTTTTTTGCATTAAATATTACATTTGTTTCAGGTATACAACATAAAATTTCTTTATTAACTTCAAAATACATAAAAAATATAGATCTGAGGACTTGCTTTTCTTGCAACACATTGCATTTATAGTATCTAACATAAATGAATGTACTACTATTTTGTAAGACTCAGAAATATCAGAAAAGTAGAAAGGAAGGAGGGAAATAATTTCATGTCATTTAAAGTTAACATTTTGCTCTTTTAGTGCTTTTTCTAAGAATATTATAATATGAAAATTCCAGCTTCAGTACAAATCATCAAATCTGAGCCTCTGTACTTTCATAAAATACACAAATCAACCACTTACTTCTCCTCTCTCCTTGCCCCTGAAAGTTTTACAATTGCTTCAATCATGAAACCCTTAATGCTATGCCTAGAGAACTCACATGTTTTGACTTTTAAATTATTTCATACTAATTGGGCTTAAGTTTATGAAAGGTAATTCAGTTCAGATATGTTTATTAACTATTCTACTATTTTACATTGTCTTCTGCTTACCCTGTTCTTCTGTTTCTTGCAAAGAGAAGATTATAATCCAAATAAGAGTAAACAGTCAAAACTGCTGAAAAAGTTCAGTCTTCAAGTTTTGGAGGAACAGAGAGTGAAAAACTAGATACATAAGCAAAATCACTTTTAATTAATAGTTTTTCCAAAAGTCATTAATCTGGCTTTAAAATGTCAAGGGATGGGTTTGCTTATATAAACCCTGCTTTTATGATATAAACAAAAGAGTTACTGTTTATTGATTTGAGGAGCGTAGGAAACCAACTGTGATTAAGGGGAGACTTCAAACAAAAGCAACACCTGAAAATATTTTGGTATTGTGACCCCAGGCTCTTGGGTGCTTATATCTCTTTGTGTGCTTTATGCATTCATTGTGGTAGGTTCATAAAATATATTTCAGAAGGAAACCAGTTGGAGACTTCAGCACAAGGGAATTTTGACATTTTTTGACCCTTGCTAGTTTTGTATTCTCTTGGTTTTTTAGGGGATTTGTTGTTGTTGTTATTTTGATGTAATTTTGCTTTATTATCATTATACTTATTAAAATTTTACTAGACATGAAAAATTTTCTGCATTTTTAAAAATTATAAAACTTAGTTTCAAATCTCTTGTTATGGTTTGAGAGTGATGCTTCTGCCGCCCTTTTATGCCTTTAAAAAATTAAATTCGTTCGGAATTCTAACGGTCAAATCAATTCCTGTTCCAGAAAATAATCTAAATATATTTGTTTGTTTTTTCTCAGTGATGTGGCACACTAATCTATTTAGAAACAAATCTTTTCTTTTAAAATTGATTTCAGAGAGGAAGAGAAAGGGAAAGAGAAATAGAAACATCAGCGATGAGAGAGGAATATCTATCGGCTACCTCCTGCACACCCCCTACTGGGGATCAAGCCTGCAACCCAGGCTTGTGCCTAGACTGGGAATTGAACCCTGATCTCCTGGTTCATAGGTTGACAACCACTGAGCCACACCGGCTAGGCTGAAGAAGCAAATCTTAATACCTTTTTGTGCCCACCAATGTGCTTTTGTATTATTGTGCCATATTTCTGGAACTCTCTCTTTGCAGTCTTGTAGTTCTCATAGCATCATATGGGAAGACTGGGGAGGAGATACAGGGCAAGTGGTAGGGATAGGGAAGCTTTAAAGTTTTAGCTTTGGTTGGTATCAGTGTAGCACCCTTTTGTGTCATGAGACAAAATGTATACCAGCATATTACATATAGACTGATGGATAAAAATTAATTTTGAATATAGTCTTTAATGTGCCTTTGTAATTTCTTCAAACATTTATGCTGTTCAGTGCCCTATGACCAATGAGTAAGTCTTACCATTTTACAAATGATAGTGTTCCAAAGGTTTATTTCTACATGTATTTATTTGGGGATCTAAATACCGTTTTCCTATAGATACATTATTATATTTGATACATAACTTTCCCAAACTACCCAACAAAAACCCTTTTAACTTATACCTGAAGAACAGAAGTATGGAACCTAAGCACTGTGTGTAACAATGTTTCTGAGAGAAGGGGCACTTTCAGCTCCATCTTTTGGAATGTCAGAAGCACAACTTTAACCTAACCTAGTAAAGCTGGCAGTGAAACAGGAACTTCCCTCTTCTTGCCGCCCCCCCCCCCCTCCGCGGGAGCCAGGGGTCTCCTTTTCTGATCTTGGCCTGGGATTGAGAGTGGGGGTTCAGAAAAGGAGGCATAGAACACAGTGGTAAGGGAAGCTGTGTTCTTAAGTCTCTAGGGATCCTCAGGTTCACAAATGGGTTTGGGGGCCTTACTCAGTTCACTCAACTGAGGCAACTTTTATTTGATCTCCAGAAGTCTTATAAGGTTTTTTGTAGTTGACTGAAAATGAAGAGATTGCACATAAAAATCTGGGTTTCCAGCTTCTCTTGAAGAACTGAGAGGCCCTTTCAGGCAGGGATGTGCTATTACACCGATTCCATTTGTTTGCACCTGGAAGTCTGTGCTCATTTATGCTGTCTCCTCAGGGCCAAGGCTTTTAAGTTTGGGACCCCTGTTTAGGTCCTTCAGAGCCAGCCAGATGGTAATTGAGAACTGCAATGTGTTGCAGATGTTAAGTGGGAGGAGGGAAAGAGAATGGGGGTTTAGGTCAGATAAAGAAGAACTGGAAACTGTTTAGAGCAGTGGTTCTCAACCTTCTGGCCCTTTAAATACAGTTGCTCATGTTGCGAACCAATCATAAAATTATTTTTGTTGCTATTTCATAACTGTAATGTTGCTACTGTTATGAATCGTAATGTAAATATCTGATATGCAGGATGGTCTTAGGCAACCACTGTGAAAGGGTTGCCAAAGGGGTCGCGATGCACAGGTTGAGAACCGCTGGTTTAGAGGAAAGGTCATGGTTTAACCTATTCCCCAATTTTCTTTCCTTGCATATGATAGTGAGAAGAATATTTTAGGGGTGGGGTGATACATATGTGGGAGGTTAAGCCATTTGGGGTAAGGAGAAGCAGCAGGGGTATTTTCAATACCTTCCTTACTTTATACTGTTCCCTCTCTCCTAAGGTCAGGAATGGGATTTGTAAAAGTAGGTTTATGGTTCCCATGGTGACTGGTTATGCATACCAGGCCCTCTCTCCCATCACTGCAGCCTGGTCTGCGGGCAGGCATTGCTGTGATGGAAGCAGAGAGGAGGGACAGGAGCAGGAGCCAAGGGAAACCCTAGTGGTTTCTGTGGGGAAGAAGAAGAGAGTTCCTAGTTAGGTCTGCTGTATTATGTGATTCCTTCTGGCATAACTTAGCAAAGCACTATTCTGATGCATGAAACCCTTTGAAACAAAAAAATCAAAAAGCTGAGAGCCCTGCAGTTCTTGCTTTTGAAACTCTAATATGAAAAACAGATTTTGGTCTTTTTCTTAAATTATAATGACATAATTCTGTATTTTTTTACAGTGATCTAAAGAAACCAAAGAACAGACTTTACAATTCTCCTAATAGAAACTGCAGGTTTTGTGTTAAATATAAACATATATCTAATGTGAATGAATTGAATAGAATTAGCAGGTTATTCACTGTCTGTTACCAGCACTTTTGTGATGGGCTGAAAAGCTTCCACATTAGGTTTTCTGTTTGTTTTGCATTTGTACCTCTTTCTGTTTGTTTTGCATTTGTTAAATTGACTGCAGCAAACTCCTACCCATAATGCATTTTATTTGGTCTCTAAGAAAGAGGTTATGTTGGGTAGAATAACAAAACTGAACATCTGTTTGGTTCTTTCTGTATAACATGAAGTAGAAAACCATAATGTAAATTTTATAGATAGATAGATATAGATATCCCCTTTTTCTGATATATCTGATACATCTGCTATTTTACAATAGAGACATATATTTCAGGTCACTAAAAGCATTCATTAACTTAAAAATGAGTGGTGCTCAGCTTTGGGTGGGCTTCAAGTTCCCAGCCATTTTATAAATGCCTGAAATAATGTGTGAAATGTGTGTGGTATGAGTGGTACTGTATGCATTTTTCTCAGTGGGAATTCTATAGATGATCTTCTTATACTAGTGTGAAAGTAATCTCATATGTGTCCCAAATCTGACTGTTATATATACAATTCCACATAGGAAGGAAATTGCATTTTCTTACCATGTTGGATTAGACCTGGTAAAAATTAGTCAGGAAAGATAGAGATTAAGTAAACAAAAAATATATTGTCTATAATAAATGAAACTTAAGAGCTAAAGGTTAAATAAAAGTGTAAATGTTAATGGTAGTGATAAGAGTAACATTAGTTTTATCAGATGTGCTGTTGTTCCAAATACTAGTCTGATAAATATTAGAATATGTCTTTGTACATTTGTGGGATAAATTTCTGGAAATGAACTATTTCAATCAAAGAGTAATGTTTTCTTGGATAAAGCCAAATTGCCTTAACTTCTCCTTTTTAAAAAACGCTTTGTATGGAAAACTGAAGTAGTCAGATGAATATAGTGAACCCCCAGGAATTCATTACTCAGCTTCAACAGTGATCAGCTCATGGTCAGTCTTATTTAATCCATACCCTTACCCATTTCCACCCTTCTGAGTTATTTTGAAACAAATCCCACATATTTTAAATAATTTAGTATGTATCGCTAAAAGATAAGGATTTTAAAAAGCTGTAGTCACAGTAATAGTCTTATACTTTAAAAAATTGAGTTTTTGTATTAATTAGTCACTGTTTAAATTTTAATTGATTCATAGCTGCCATTATTTTATTTTTAACAATTACTTTGTTTGAAACTGCATTCACATAAGGTCTGCACATTGCAATTGGCTGAATTGCCTTTTACATCTTTTTAAATTTAAGATTTTCAGTCGACCAGAAACCAGGTTTTTAATCTGTATTTTTAAGTCTGTGTCTACTAATTTTGCTCATTGTATATACCTCTGGTGTAATTAACATGTTAGAGTCCTCTGTGTTTCCTGTACATTTATATTTGTATCTAGAAGTTTAACTGGATTCAGGTTTATAGGTGGTGGTGTGTTCTTCAATCTGTAAGCATGCAGTCTCTGTCTGACTTTTTTTATGAGGTTCAAGGCTTAGATTCATTAACTCTGAGGGTTGTAGATGGTGATGTTCTAGTTTATCTTTCCATTGTTACTTAGAAACTGGATTATTCTTATAAAGCTAAATTCCCCCTCATCTCTTATTTCCCAGTAGTGTAGGTCATATAGGAATAAGATAAATGCTTGATTCTCTCTATTTATTTGCTTAATTTTCAAAACAGTGAATTGGCTATCTAGCACCCTTCAGTGTGGGGATCAATCAGTTCCGGTCCATTATCAGTACTCAGATTGCCCCATCTTTGGACGGTGAGAACCTCTTAAGTTGAGTCCATTGAGAAGGCTTCAACTTCCTTGCTGTGGTACTAGGTGTTTCATATTCATCTTGTGAATTATCTACCCAGACCTGCAATCAGCCATTTGTACTTAGGAGCCCTGGTTCCCAACACCTTTATCCTTGGATCTAGCTACTCCATTGTCTTCATAATAAGACTTAATACAAATCAAGAGAAATTTAAGATTTATAATTAATCATTATATTTTTAATGCAAAGTATAAGGCCCTTAGACAAGAAATCTGTACTTTTGAAGTGGTGATAAGTATTCCTTGGAAAAGAGTACACTCACATACACGCAGTTGTCTATTTGGCAGTTGCCTCTGCTGGGAAGTGCATTTTCCAATATAACTATTAGTTTTTCTGCAACCCAAGTAACTTGGCAAGTGTTTAGGATTACATGATGAGACTTCCCTCAGTGCAGAAAAGACCACAGACTCCCAGTATTGCAGACAGCCAATTGGAAAGCTGCAAAGTCTGTTAATAGAGACTGACTAAATAATGAGATAGATGCTAAAGGAATTTGCTCATGAGGTTTTCATGTTTCTTATTATACTCCTCATCACCTGACTGTGTATTCTGTTTGATATGCAACTACTTACTTATACTGCATTTATAGAATTGTGACCATATTCATGTAATTCATTTAAAGTCTAAATTAAAATCATAAAGTGCAGCGATTTCCAACCTTTTTCATCTCATGGCATACATAAACTAATAACTAAAATTCTGTAGCACACCAAAAATTGTATTCTATTTTTTGCTGATCTGAAAAAAACAGGTATAATTTTTATTCATTCACACTGGATGGCTATTGTTGTGTTGGCTGTTGTCATTTTTTTATTTGACAGTATAAGGGAAAACTTGCCCCTGACTAAATAATAGTCAGGTATTGCATGTTTTTAAAATTCTTGTGGCACATCAAGTGTGCTGCAGCATACCGGATGAAAATCACTGATATAGTGGCATATTTCGCTGATACTGTGAATCAGATATCTCTCAAATTTTTTTCTTTTTCTGAAGAATATCTGGATATCAATTATTAGAAAGGATACAGATCCCCAAACTTGCTTCTATATTTAAGTAATCTATTTAGCTTTTGCAATATTATTAGTGTTAGCTTTACTAAAAACTTAGGAATATAAAAAAAATGTCATGTTGTGGTATCAGGAACTTTATCTGACTTGTTCACTTGCTCTAAAAATTGGAACAGTGCCAGACACAAAGGAAGTACCGTAGTCAACACTAATTGGAGGATCTATCACAGTTTCTGCGCTTTATCCCTCTGCCTTCAAATTTAGTGACCTTCAGTTGCATTTAGTCGGACTAAGTTCATCTGACATTTTATTTAAAAAGAAACACAACAATTACATAATTCTGTTATATTCATTTGTTTAGTAAACTTCAGCAGGGGTGAGGAGGTGGCTGCTAGACACTGTGGACACACTGGGATACAAAAATTAAAAAGACAGGCTCTCTGTCTTCAAGAAGTGATGAGTCTAATGAAAGAGACCAAAGATAAAGGATGTGCTACATGTGCGCTATGCAACATGCAGAATGGTTAAGAGCAGGCTCTGGTTTTGTAGCTCAGTTCTGCCAGTACAACCTTGGGCAAATTATTTAATTTCCTCTGTGCCTTAAGCTTCTCATCTGTGTTATGTTGTGGGAATATAAAAGAACTAATTAGGATGGGGGGCATTTGGGGGAAAGGTTCCAAAGCAATAACATTTGAGCTGAATTTTAAATTATCAAAGAACCTAAAATGTTTTCTCTTTCCATTTCCCTTCCTGTATGTTAGCTTAAACGTTACTCGGTGGAGAATTTTGCCTCTGATTTCCTCCAACTTCCACCCCCAACTAATTTAAGCCTCTTGTTCTGCTCCTGCTCTATGTTTGGTCTTTTTACTACTCAGGTGTGGTTATTCCGTTGGTTATTCCGTTTCTTCTTTGCTATTTGTCAGCTCCAAGAAGACTTGGTCTGTCAGGTTCATTCCTGATATTGGTTAAATGAATGTGCAAGTTAGATAAGAAATAAGGGAAAGGCATTCGAAGCCCAGGGAGGAACATTTACAAATACACGGAATTGTGGAAGGCCTACCTTAGAGTATACAGAAAGGAACAGCGGCCGATAAGGCTGGAAAGGGAAGTTCAGGACACATTATAAACTGTAAACAAAATTAGTGCTGAAAGTGATTTTAGAAAATGTCTGTGGTGATGCCTGTTTTTTAAAAAAAAAACAATGGATTGGGACTGAAATCAGAATTAGTGCTGAGAACTTATCTTTTAAAAAAGAAAAGAAATGACTGCATTTCAGTCTGTTTTAGTGAAAAGCCTAGTTTTTTAGTTTGGATAAAAAATATTTTTCCAGAAACTGTTTCACTGGAGTTCAAGGACTTTGCCTTTTATTCTGTCGCTAGAACTGAGCTTTTCAGCAGATAATTATGATCAGCTTTGTTTTTAGGAAGATCTCTATGTAGCAGGTTCTCCCAACCTGATCACCATTGGCATTTGGGCCGTGAGATTTCTTTGTTGTAGGGGCTGTCCTGTGCATTGTATGCTGTTTGACAGGATCCTTAGCCTCTACCCACAGGATGCCAGTCACACTTCCTCCCCCAAACCCATCCCAGTGGTGACAACCAAAATGTGTCCAGCCATTGCCAAATAACCCCTTGGGGCAACAGTGCCCCAGGTTGAGAACCATGGCTGTGCAGCTTTGTCAAGTATGGATCTGAGTATAAGACACTGTAGGCCAAGAAACTAGGTAATAGGAGGCTACACTAGTACTGTGTAATCCAGGTGAGGTGAGGTGGTCGGAATTAATACACTTGCAGACAAGGTTAGGGGGCAGATTTAAGAGACACTGTGAGAATCAACAAGACTTGGCAACCAACTAGATCTCAAAGGGAGGGGATCTGAGATGATTCTTAGGCTTTTTTCTTAGTTGGCTGCATGTAAGCAGTAATATTAACCTAGAATAACACAGAAAGAATTTTTCCTTAGGGCTTGGCCCAAGGAGTATCTGGCCTGGAGGAAGCAATTTTTGGACACTGGAGTCTGAAAACTACTGTTGATTCCTAGACTGATAGAATGTAGAAATGGAAAGAAGTTTTAAAGACATTTGATCCATTTTTTAGGTGAGATAGAGAAGGATAAACACATGCTGAAGGTTAACAGCAGAGCCTGCTCTGGAGCACAGGTCTCCTGATTCTCAGGTTGTGTTTTGTTTTTAATTACAAGACTCTTATCTTCAAGTAGACACATCCTCTTTATACACTCCCTACCTTTTCTGGGTTTCTTAAGCTAAGGATGCTGAATATACTTAAAGAGTTCACTTTGCTTATTCATTCCTAGAAATTAACTTACTGAACTGTAGAAATTTGGGGTCTTGGGGGATGTTGCTGTCAGTAACTTAGTATAATGTGGTAGGTGTATATAAGTGGTTCTCCCGATGTCATAGACACAGCGCTACCATCCCCCACCCCCAATAGCTTAGGGCACAGCTGTAGTTGAAGGAGCTATGTTTTCATTGACCAGTGTGGGTCTTAACCTATAACAGTGTAATCATTATTGTCTCTTCATAGTACTTTAAAATAGTAAATATTAATTTTTAGAAGATTGTTTGATAACACATTGGTATATGTCATAATTTGTATAGACTACAGGAGTTGAAATATTCAACTTCCTGGCCACAATGCTGAAAACTTGTTTGTGTGTACTTATTTGGATACTTCTGTTCCTAATTATTCCCATGAAAGTAATAAACACTTAGGAATCCCTCTCTTCTATACTCCCTCTTACTTTCGTTTCACTTTCCTTGTTATCAACAGGAATTCATTTGGGTGTTTTTAATCTTGAAGGTAAAGAGCAGTCACCTTTGGAGATGAGTATGCATCCAGTTGCAACAGCCCCACTCTCGGTGTTTTCTAAGGAATCGACGTCCTCCAAACACAGTGACCACCATCACCACCACCACCATGAGCACAAGAAGAAGAAGAAGAAGCACAAACATAAGCATAAGCACAAGCACAAGCATGAGAGCAAAGAGAAGGACAAGGAGCCTTTCACCTTCTCCAGCCCCGCCAGCGGCAGGTCTATTCGCTCTCCTTCTCTCTCCGACTGAGACCTTTGCCTCTGTCCGCAAGAGGTATAACTGAAGCTCTGGCCTCTGTAAAGAACGATAAAAGGAAAAAAATTGCCTCTCAGAGAAATTCAGAATTCATTTAAATTCTAAATATTTGATTTCTATTATTTACACAGTTGGGATGTGATAAGGAAAATGTGTTTATGTTCTGAATAAACCATTTCATCCCATTACCTCCTTAAAGCGTGCACACACACACGCACCCCACACACAGAGCAAACGCTTTTTCATACAGTCCCTCGTATCCACTGGCAGTCCCCATTCACACCACGGACTCCATGCGTGCTGCCACAAAGCATGTTTGAAAGCCTTTGATGGATGTTATCGAGCAAAGTTTTAAACAGAAGCTACTGCCAAGCCTGTGGTGGAACCACTGTTTCCAGTGACAGATTATATAACACCGTTTGGAACTACTGAAGAAAACAGAAGCTTTTCTATAGGAGTCTCTCTATTGCATGTTTTTTTGTGTGTGTGTTAACCATAGAGCCTAAGCATCAGAATTTATAAACAAGACTACATGGTATTTTCTTTTGCCCAAAAGTCCTGAAATTTTTGGAAGCAGCTTTACAAAAAAAGAAAGAAAAAAATTTAAAAACTCTTTTGATAATACATTTGGCAGTTATGATGTTGGAATTTAACAGAACCATCAGATCCAGTTCTTAAATCAAGATGTTTAAATTACGTTATTTTTTCATTAAGTATAAGTGAAAATGTCCATACTTAGAATATATTTGCTAAATGTGAACAATTTACACACCCAACACATTCTAAAGTTATTTCTCTGTGACACAAGCTATGATACGTTAAAATGGTATCAATAGACTGTTTACTAACTTCAACATAGACAATTTGGCCTTCATGTGAGTATACACAGGCATTTAAAAGACATGAATATTTTGGTTTCATACTTCAATAGTTTGTATGTTTTTGTTTTTATTTCTGAATTTACCATGTACTTTATTGTTTAAAAATTTTTAATATGGGTTGTATTTTTATCCTTTCCCTTAAGAAGTTTGGAAGATACTTCTTCCCAGAATAGATATTTCAAAGGGATCCAATAGTTAGACGTTTCAATATACTTTTATTTGTATTTAACTTGTTTAATAAATGACTTTTTAAATGGATCATTCTGCCTTTGTATCTTTTTATATCTTTTGTTTCCTTTCTGTCTGTGTACATAGAATACCTACCCACCAAGTTTGTGTAGAGCTTCGTGGATAGGTGGGATTTGCACTGGCCCTTTTAGGAAGAATGATTTTGGTAGTCAGAGATGGGGTACAGTTCTCTGAACAGAAGAAACAGTATTTTCAAAAGTATGGAAGAAAGCAAGGGCATGCTCAGGAATTGAAAACCAGCACAGTTGGCCAGGAGTGTTAAGTAAAAGGGAATGTGATCAGGCATCGAAGGACCTAAATGGCAGTGATTTAAAGATTCCAATTAATTACCTGTTGACTATTGAAATTATTCTTGGAAAAATGGAATATTACAGTGTGCACGAATACCATATATGGAATTCCCGACTTTGAAAATAGTAATGATATATTTCAAAATAATTAGTATTGTAGGAAGACAGTGACAAATAATAGCTACCTACATAATTTAAGTACCTCTTATGTATTGAGTACTGTATTGGGCACTATGTTATTTCTAAATAGCATATTGTATGTTTCTTATGAGCAACTTTTTTTTTTATTGTGAGCTTTCAGTTATGTTGATGACTAGGAGCAAACAATATTTTTGAAATAGGTAATTATGCATAATCAAAGTTCTGGTGTCAGTCTCTCTACTGTCATTTCCCAGAGGCAGTCACTGTTGCCGGTATTACACACATCTTTCCAAGTAAGTCTATATGGTATATACATTTTTAAAGCAAATGATACTTGGAGAAATTTTTTATTTTTGTACAGTTTATCTTTTATGACTACCACATTTTGTGTCAGTATGCTAACAAATGTCTTTCTCAATGCATAATTATAAAAGAATTCTCCCATTTTTTCTATTTTTAAAAGTTTTATGTTTTAGGTTTATATCCTTTATTCAACTGGAATTCATATGGAGTTTATTTTGACAGATGGTAGAGTACTTTCTTCCCCCCTTCTAGAATGCTACCCAATAACCCAATACTATGTATTTAAAACAACATCTTTTTTCTCTAGATTTCTAATGTTATGTACTAAATTTCCTAATATAGTTGGGTCCATTTCTGGACTTCGTAGCTGGTTTCATGAATCTGTGTGCTCAACTGCCAATGCCACACTGTTTAGATTACTGTAACTACCAGATACGGTAGAGCTAGCTTCCCCTAATCTCTTTGTCAATTTTTTTGGTTATTCTTGTGGGTTATTTTCTTTTTCTGGTTGACTTACTGATTTATATACAGTAATACTCATTCCTTATGCTGTACATTTCTATGGGTTTTGACAAATACTTGGACTTGTATATCCAACCACCGCTCCAGAATTCCCTCCTTGTAGTCAACTCTCTCACCACCCAGTTCCTGGCTTCCACTGATCAATTTCCCATCCCTATAACTTTTCATTTTTCTGGGTTTATTTTTCTATATAAGCATTGGAATTAGTTTTTCTACCTTCTTGAAGTTGTTTTTGTAGTAGGTATTGATTGTGTGTTAAATCAATGGCTAATGTGTTGTTGATGTTACTATCAATATAGTATTTCTTTTTAGTTACATTATAAGGTGATTTATTTTTTGGTTTGGCATTCTGTAAATGGTGTTTTTTTCATTATAATATTATGTATATTCCTTTAAGCTGATTTTGTACTTAGTTACTCCATTAATCAGGGTTCCCAGAGAAACAGAAACACACATCTTTGTTACAGAGTATTGACTCACATGATTATGATGGCTGAAAAGGTCTACAATCTGCTGTCTACAAGCTAGAGACCCCGGAAAGCTAGTGGTGTAATCGAAAGGCCTGAGGGTAAAAGCCCACAGAATAGATTTCAGTCTGGTTTTGCAGGTCTGAGAACCAAGACTGAGACAGAAGATTGATGTCCCAGCTCTCCTACAGTCAGGTACAGAGGGAATTTAGCTTTCCTCCATGTTTTTGTTCTATTCAGGCCTGGGGAGGGCCATCTGCTTTTACTGAGTTCACCAGTCCAAATGCTAATGTCTTCTTGGAACACCCCCACAGACACACCCAGAAATAATGTCTAACCAGCTATCTGGGCATCGCTTGACCAGCCAAGATGATATATAAAATTAACCATTACAGCTACATGACTCAATTCTCATTGCTTACAATATGGTTAATGCATTTCTTGGGTTTTACTTGAAAATAATCACATCTGCTAACGATGCTAATTTTATTACCTCTTTCCTAATTTTTGTACATTTAATTTTCTAATTTTGTCTTTTGTCTGACTTCCTTCTCTTGCTGAGTGTGCCTGGGAGCTGCAGGGATGGGCATCTCCTCTCATCTTCCTGCACCTCTTCTCTCTGCACTTGGCAACCCTTCCATGTGTGCTGAGGGTTTGCGTTTCAAATTTCTAGAATTTGAAGTTTACAATTTTTGTTTCTTGTTCTTATTTTTTTTGGACGATTCTTAAGGAGAGAATTTACTACCCATGTCTGGTAAATGTAAAAAGATACTTTGATCGAAGTACCATTCTTACATTGAAATCCTTGTGTGGTAAATAGCTAGAAAGCAACTTAGTTTTCCCATCTTCTAACCCATCACTACTGTTCCAACTTTTTACTGTAAACAAGTGAACTTTCTCCCTATCAAGTGTGCTGCAGCCCAAGCAGAACTGTCTCTCAAAGCTCTTGACCTCTGGCATCCCTGCCTTTGAGTGTGGGCTGGACTAAATGACTTCTAAAGAAGAGAGTATGGGAAGGGGTAAATAGTAACTTCACAGTTAAGGAAGACAGACACTACCTTAACCAAGTGATCATGGGAAACATCACCAGTGAGAAGTTCTGTCAATATCATGTCCTCCTCCATATGACAAGATGCAAAGGGCACCTCTGTAGCTATAAATAACCACAATCCCAGCCTACCCAGTCTAATCATGAGAAAAAACACCAGGCAAACCCAAACTGAGGGATATTCTGCAAAATATTCCTCAATACTATTAAATTGATGAAAATTAAAGAATGACTGAGGGAGCATCACAGACCAGAGGAGATCAAGGAAACATGGGTTTTCCTGGATTGAATCCAGCAACTGAAAAAGAACATTAGTGAAAAAAACTAGGGAAATCCAGATCCATCCTGGAGTTTAGTTAATGGACCAATGTGGATTTCTTAGATCTGTTCATGTACTGTGAGAATGTAACATGTTAACAGTAGGGAAAACTGGGTGAAGGACATACTTGCTGAGAAGGAAATTTACTAATAGAATTGTAATCCTTCTCAGCTATGAGTATATTTTGATTATTGCTGTAGCCTAAATTATTACTATGATAATATAGTCAATAAGAGACAGTCTCTGTCCTCAAAGTCACACCACTGAGAACTGGTGCTTTCTCTTTTTTTTTTTTTTTTTCTGGTAAATTT